GAATTTAAATAAGTATCTAGTGCAGCAAAAATGTACGTAAAAAAAGTAAACTGGATACCGACCTGCTATGAATAAGTTAGTGTCACAACCGGTCAGCGCATGGGTATATTGTTTCGCTTACTGAGAGATATTGACGCCGCAACTGTATGAATAGGTACCATCGTCACCAAAAGTAACTGGGACACAAATAATGCACAATAATCTCCTGGACTAATTCTACTGTCATTCATTTCAATGCATTTAATGCATAATTTGACAAATATTTGACAATAAAATTCATCTAGGACAAGAGCTAATGTGATGCTGTCCCAGTTACTTTTGGTGACGATGGTACGTACTTTCTATCCTGTGCAAGAGCAAAACAAATATGTCTGTGTCTCTTGCAGACACGACAACTCTACTGTGTCTATGTTTATCCCTCAAAGTATATTTGTACTATTTTATTTCGGCAAATCTGTGTTAACATGTTACCTATATCGCTTTTTCGACCTCAAATTCGTGTTCAGCGACCTCCGAAACACTTGTGGTCATACCCAGCACGTCATATTATAGCAACTTTTTGGTTTGGTATTTGGCCCCCTGACGGCCGCCATCTCAAATTATGGTAGGTACCTTTGGTATCCGAATCGACTTCTGGTACTCATATTCATGTTCAGCGACCCCAAAAACGTATGAAACGACATCTCCCCGGTCAATAACGATACACTTTTAAAAAAATGTCATTAGGCTCTTAGCCGCCATACTGGATTTGAGGCCTTCGGAGGCAAAATTCGGCTTGGCAACATCCAGATTCGGGTTCAGCGGGGTCGAAATGTTGCACGAAATGCCGCTCGAAGTAAAATTTCTGAAAATGTCCACCAGTCTATCACTCAACTTTACATTATTTCTTTTACATCCTGGTTTAACCACTCCTCCATACAAAATAAAGAAACTCGCCAGAAATAACTTAAATCATTTTTTTTATGTATCAACACGATATGCATATTATAATAATACATTTATTTTATTAAACCCTAATTTACAAACAATGCACAAACTGCAACAACAAATCCATTAAATGGTGATAAAAAAAAAACTTTACGACCCATTCGAATTGTCACCTATTCCCGAATATGGCGACGCTAATACTGCACCTAATTCAAGATTATATTTGTATGCAAAGTATTTCTAGTCCTAGAATTAAATGTGACCAACCATAAGTATCTAGATTTGTAATTCAAATTTTAGCTTTTTAATGTGTTTGGTAATAGTATATTGTTTTATTAGGAGTAAAAGTGATACTTTTTGTGGCGAGACTAAATGTTTGATGTCACTTTTTTGTCCGGACGTGAGCGTACAAAAAAGTACTTTTTTGTACGCTCACGGAACGCGCGGACAAAAAAGTAACCAAAAAAATGACGTCTGTGAAGTCAAACTTCAACATTAAGAATTGAGGTTAAAAAAGTCGTCATTTTTTGACGTTTGCGGAAAAAATAAATTACATAGATTTATTTTTGGACCCTGCACACTTACTTCTTATGGGATTTCTGACCGCGGCCAAATTTAAACAAATTTTAGTATGTTGAAGATTTCACCTTTTTTATCAATAACTACCACAGGCACAACTTAATCCTATGACTAGTTTTTGAGTTACAGGTAGTTTAATGTCCAAGAAATGCACACATTTTATATCCATTTACATCTACCTGTCACCTAATAATACCAGGATGGACAGGTATCCTCACACTCAGGTGAACAGTGTTGCCAGATCTCACGATTATTCGTAAGATTACACGATTTTGGTCAGAATTTCACGATCTCACGAATGAGGTAGCAAATCTCACGAATTCTCTTTGTAGTAATACAAATTAGTAATCAAATATAATGTAATCGGAAATAATCGAAATAACGTCTACTATACAATATTTAGTTATGTTACGCTGCTCTTGGTACATGCGCGCTCAAGAACACTTTACCTAAGCCGCTTTCCAGTATGCACATTGGCGCGCTCCGGCGCGCTCCAGAGCACCTCGGGGGCGCCACGCACTAGATTTGTACCGTTCCAGTATCATGACGTGAGACGCCCGTCTTAGTGTCAAATATGTCAAATTTAAAAATAATTATCTGTTTGTTTGTGCAGTTTGTTTTTTTATTTATCATAAATGAAAGAGAATCAAAACTATATTTTTTAAAATGTTCAATCTTAAGATATAACAAGAAATAAATAAATAAATAGCCACCCACGGATGTGACAGCTGACAGGTTGACGCGTACGTACAGCTCGGGGGCTCAACGCCCCGAGTAGCTCCGGGCGTCAAACTCCTATACTGGAAAGCGGCTCTAATAGCACGGCATATACAAAAATAATCAGCAGGCTAACTTGAGCTTTGTATCCCAAAATAGCGGCGTGCGCAGATGAGATGGGCGTTAAATATCATTGTTTTGCCATTTAAAGATAGACTGTATCCTCGAATGGCGGCGTGCGCAGAAGAGATGCGCATGAGAGTTAACCTGCTGTTTGTTTTTGTATATCCTGTGCTAATAGGACCGTTTATTGAGCTGAAAGTGTCTGCGAAGTCCACGAGACCCCACTATTTGTGACGTCAGCTGCAGACCTCAACTCTTGGTAGAAAATACATTATCCGAGTCCAAAAAAACGAATTCATAAACGTTGAAATCGCCTTTTCCTAATTTAAAACTCCCAATAAAATTAACTCACAAGCACTGCTTGAATCGCAAACCATCCATCGAGGTCTGCGGGTAACGTTACTACTATCAGTTGCTAATAGTAGTGACGTCACTCGCAGACCAGCTGCCGACTCGAGAATTGGCGAACGTACGCTTTTTTAGGATAATGAAAACGAGGTTCAGCTCTCAGAAACACCTGCTAAAAAACGGAAAAACAAGGATACAAAATTCAAGATTTAATAATAAAATTTCAATATCTTATGGATCACTCTATCAAAAATCTATAGAAGAACATTGTGCATTATTTTCTTACAAGCAATTTTAGGTCTCACGATTTTTCTTTATCGATTCTCACGAATTTTTTTATTTCATCTGGCAACACTGCAGGTGAAACGTAGATGTAAATGCATATGAAATGTGTGCATTTCTTGGACATTAAACTACCTGTATCTCAAAAACTAGTCATTGGATTAAGTTGTGCCCATGGTAGTTATTGATCAAAAAGGTAAGATAAGATAAGAAGTGTGCAGGGTCCTTTGTCCATTCCTGATGTTTGTATATTTTTCATTGTTTGCGTGTCTCAGTTTTACTTTGTTCACTTTTTATTAGCTTTGTTCCAACCTAGCAGGAAAACCGTAATATTACCGTTAGGATTCTGCGCAAAACCTCAAATTTTTGCGTAGAAATCGAAATTCGTATACACAGTGGTTCCGGAACCGTTCTGAGACGTTTTTTTTTTTTTTGACACACATATTCATGTTATTCAAGTTGTATGGCTATTCTGAGTTGACTTTCCTTCTCTAACTTGCTGTTCTTTGAATTAGTTTAACAGCCCACGAATAACCTCTTAATTATTATAATTTTTTGTTTCTCAAGGAAAGAAAAATAAAAACTAGAAAGAATTGATAATATATCTGATAATAATATAAAATATTCTGTTTCAGGTAAGGGACATGTAAGATAAGGCAGCAGATATATTTCTGCCAAGGTAAGTGTTTTAGTATTTTTCATATTTTTTCATGATTGCATAGTTGTAGAACTTGTAGTCTTTATCTTTTGAGCGGCACAAAAAGTTACCCAGATACTCAAAATTTCAATTACATTGGAAGTTATCACCTGGGAAAGACGTCGGACAAATTTTGTTGGTTGTTTCACGTAACTTGAGCTATGTGAATAAAGGACCCCGCAATATTTAAATGGAAATTGGTTACCCGTGATATTTGGATGAAATTTAAATATGTTATTGGGGATGCCGTAAGCAACATTTTTTACCATGGGCACAACCCTGTATATATGACAGGTGAGGCGTGGTTAGCTGTCAAATATTGGAATCTGATATCCAAAAGCAGAGTAACTATAGCAGATTTTGATGAACAAAAAATCTATTTCTTCTAAGTCGACCAAGTCGAAAAATGTCAACCGTTTTAACACCTGTCAAAACCCTGCCGAATGACAGCACTCATATTTTCCAGTTTTTAATGTTGTCATTTGACATTTTTAACTTAAATGTAAATTCTGAATTCAAAAATTGAAAAAAAAAAAATGACTGCTGTCAAAATGTGACGTGCATGAACTTTGTTCAATGTTTTATCACCAATAAACTACCTTAAAACGAGAAAGGACCAGATTGGAGTGTTTTTTCTACTAAAACAAATGACAGGCTTTGACAGTTCTGTCATTTTTTTTTCAATTTTTGAGTTAGAATTTACATATAAGTTAAAAATGTTAAATGAAAACATAAAATATTGAAAACTGGAAAAGATGAGTGCTGTCGTTTGGCAAGGTTTTGACAGGTGTTAAAATGGTTGACACTTTTCGACTTAGCTTGGTCGACTTAGTAGAAATAGATTTTTTGTTCATCAAAATCTGCCATAGTTACTCTGCTTTTGGATATAAGATTCCAATATTTGACAGCTAACCACGTTTCACCTGTCATATATACAGGGTTGTGCCAGTGGTAAAAAATGTTGCTTACGGCATCCCCAATAACATATTTAAATTTCATCCAAATATCACGGGTAACCAATTTCCATTTAAATATTGCGGTGTCCTTTGACTCATCAAAATAATAATGATAACCTATTTCTGCATTTTCTTGTAGCAAAATATGCGTTCCATATAAGTAATATTTTGCTGGTCACATAAAAAAATCAAGGTATTAAACGTCCCAAAACTTCAGGCATATCAAATATAATAAAGGTAATAAAATCAACTTTCACTCATTGGCCCTCAACGAAACTTCTCTTATCACATCAATTTCAATTAGCCGCTATATACAGTCGTATAAAAGCAATTAGATAACGAAGAGTCTCATCATTTTTAGGGCCATTTTATTGGTTTCCTTTATGGAGTGTCTTTTGCGATAAGAGATCGTAATTATTGAAAGTTTATTCTCAACTGAAACCGATGAATGAAATAAAATTGAATTGATGATTAATGGTTTCAATCATCATCATCATAGTCAGCTCCATAGCGTTTTATAATCCTAGGTTTCTTCTACAAATGCGGTTTTCTTTCTGTTTTTTTTTTCTCTGTCGGCATGGATGGATACCATTTTAATGGAAAAAGCATTGATGATATTCGTTTATGAGTGGAAAGCAAAAGGAGCATATTTCAGGATGAATAATGTCATCTCACTGGTGAACAGTTCTATGTTTGATACTGCAGAAAATGTTATCAGCTCTAGACTGATACGATGATACTTGTCAGTACTAAATCGAAGCAAATGCAAGCACAATTAGTTTTTGAAATGATTGTTCATCAACGTTAAATTTTTTTTAATGGGGTTTCCTTGAGATAAAAAGACGAGTATGTTGACCTATTTTCAATCTAAATTCGGAGAATCATGTCATGTTGTATTTTATTTGTAATCTGCAAGGTGGAAATTACATTTTCAAAGATTTACATGACAAGCTTGATCTTATCGAATGAGTGGAGACTTTTTTCCCCAATGATCCGCCCAGGGAATCAATGGTCTTCAGCGAAGCGTTACTAGCCGATGTCACGGATCCTCTTAAAGTAGAATGTGAAGCCATTTTTTTCTCTTCGATGTATTTCACTGCCAGCGGCATTTCGAATTCGTAAGGCCCATTATGACCGGGTATAACCTACAATACTGAGTAAATAGAATTAATCATATATTGTCCATCGTTTTTTATCTGACACTTTCCGTATGAGGTGAAGCTTATGGCAAAAACCAGGTTTGACGTCAGATGACCATTGGCGTTTCAATGTAGGGAGCCACCAGCTCACATTCTTATGGAGTATCAGATTAAAATCGACGGACTTTAATCTTGCTTACCATAACTGTTGGTTCTAAACCACAATGCCGATTGATAATAGTTGGGATTTTGTCAGCAGCTTCTCTTGTAATCAAGACTAAGCCGATATCTGACCGCTCAAGGATATCTAGAAATGCGAGCTCCAACTCGAAATGGTCAGTTTTCTCATCTACCACGTAATAATTTGGCGTGTTATGTTTGTCTAATTCACCTATACCAGCTAAAACCGATTGATGATTGATAAAAAGCAACGTTGATTGTAAATTGAAGGATTTTTTGCTTGATATATTTTAAAAATCTCAGAAAAAAAAAAACGAAGCAGAGACGCTAATAATAATGAAAGATAGGGGTGCCGGGTTTCAGAGAACCTCGTGGGTGCTGATGTTCATGCACCGGCATTTATGAGGGGAGGTGAATAGCCGGCCGGTGGCGAAAAAACTTCTCCAGAAGCCACGCCCAAAAACGTTTACCAGCATTCTTTAATTTACATTCGGACGAGTTTCTAAGAAGGGAATGGTAATACATTTCAAACAACGTAGTTCACACCTTTCCATATTCGTTTTCCAGCTGCGGGAACTAGAGTTGCTTGGTGTTTGCGTAAGTTTTTTGCGGTGTCTGCTAAAATTGAAAAAAAAAGACGGCTATAAGGGTAAAGAGTAGAGTGTTTTCACAGCTATCAGAACAATACCCACTTCAACCACGTAAAAGCCCCCCTCCAGCATAGCCATCATAGCCCACCATTAATCCATTTTCAAAAGACGCCGCCGATCTAGAGATTTTCCCACGGTATCGAAAAACTTCCTAGGCTCAAGTACCCCCAGCTATCAGACTAGCAGATTCACAAGCAAAATATTTATTATTGCAATAAAATTAATGCACCTGTTTATAACCAATACCCACCTCACAGCTATCAGAGCAATACCCACCTCTACTACGTCAAAAAGCTTCTACTCTGAAGAGGTACCTCTTTCCATATCCCTTCACTTTCTTGAAAACTAAAGAATATTTCAACAATTCCTGCATTTGTATTCGGCAATAGTGTTCTAAACTCCATGAGATTAATTTTATTGCAATAATAACATTTTGCTTGTGAATCTGGTGGACCACTTACGTAGTAGAGGTGGGTATTGGTCTGATAGCCGGGGGCACTTGAGCCTGGGAAGTTTTTCGATACCGTGGGAAAATTTCTAGATCGGCGGCGCTTTTGATCTGAAATTTTGGGGATTTGACCCGGGCCAACCCCAAAATTGACGAATTTGAATACAAATGGAAGAATTGGTTAAATATTCTTTAGTTTTCAAGAAAGTGAAGGGATATAATAAAGTGCCATCTCAGGGTAAGAGTCTTTTGAAAATAGATTAATGGAGGGCTTTACGGAAGAGGGTTTACAGTGCAGGTGGGTAAAAAGTCTCTCCTCAGGGTAGGAGCTTCACGGAAGGGGGTACAGTGGAGGTGGGTAGTGGTATGATGGCTGTGCTGGAGGAGGGTTTTTACGTGGTAGAGGTGGGTATTGGTTTGATAGCTGTGAAAACACTCTACTGTAAAGTGTGGAAAACTCTCCTGCAGATATTCTTTTCTAAGCAGCATGTACCGAAAATCTGCGTTTTACGCTGTTCTCCATAAAAGATTTCTGATTTTCTTCATCTTCTTCTTCTTCTAAACAAAGTACCACCATGTTCTGATATCAACTGCCAGTACTGAATTTACTGTTCTGATTTTACTGTAATTTGCCGTTCCAATTTCAACAGGGTACTCTTGTGGTCATTCAGTACTGAATCGACTGAATCCAGTGTACTGAAAATAATATCGGAACGGCGTCCAGTAAATTGACTACTGACAGAGTTGATATCGGAACATAACCTATATAAGGCTATGGTCCAAATATAACCAAACGTTAACCATAGGCTCTGTTCCAACAGACATGAGAACCGTTCCAGAACCAATAATTTCCAGTTGCCCACCTATTTTTCAACAAGTTGAACGTTTTTCCTAATTGATAAATGGATTGATCGACTGGAAATTACCGTTCTAGAAAGGTTTTCATGTCTGCTGGAACAGAGCTAAAGTAACCGAATCGGTCAACAGATGTTTACTGAAAACTCCGGTTACTTTGGGGAACGCAAATATGGAAATAAAACATAATTGACAGAAGTTACAGATAAAACCTTGATGAACCGACATCCGATGGCCGGTAACTATTTTGACATTTGGTTAACCAGATTTCAGGAACCCGAGGTACAAAATTAACCAGTTTTCCAGGAACTAGAGAGGATTATCAGTTTTTAAGTCTATGCTCGTGGGTGCTTCGCACCCACTGTTTAGGTCTCGTGGGTGCTCGAGCCCCCGAGCACCCACGAAGTCGGCGCCCCTAATGAAAGATAATCAGAAGTAGAAAGTTTTTCTAAATATATAGGTATCGGGTGATTGTCTATATTTTGCACCCATACACCTAGCTTAACTGTTTGAAGAGATACACAGAAATCTAAAATGTGAAAGTTGTGGGTAATATCAGAAATTTGAGAATAAAGTTAGTTACAAGTATACAGGGTGTGTCACAAAAGTGTGTTACGTACAGCTTTCACATTTGACATTTCTGGATTCAAACAGGTGAAATAGGTGTGGGTGCAAAATATAGACAATCACCCGGTACTACATAACTAGCTGAAAAGCTTTACTACAAATAAATGAGTCAAGGAGAAGATTTAATTCAAGCGCTTTTCAGTGTAAAGTACAACCAAAACAAAAAAGTTCAAAATGGTATAAAGAAATTTGCAAATTGCCCAGTATCAAAAAGAACTTTTGCAGATGAGTTGATGATCTAAGTGAAAAATGAAGAAGTACGTATGCTAAATTATAAAAATCGAGGGAATCAAACTACCAGCTACAGATAAGATTGCGGGAATCGACCCAATAACGAATAAATGTGAATATTGCAAGAAATTACTAAATAACGAAAAAAGGCACAAATAAGATCATTAGAAAAATACCAGTGCTAATAGAGAGTTATTGGAAGTGAAATAAGGTCCAGCAGTAATAATGCAAACGCTATATTGACATTTGCGCTTGCGCAGTTGCGCCGTTGAATAAGGCTAGTTTTATTACCGTTTGTGCTAGACTTTATTACTGCACGAATAAAGCCACGCACTAAAAATATAATTTGCCCTTATTTTGAAATTTGTCAGCAAAGCAAAGCTGTCAGTAAGTAAAGTAAGGTTAGAAATAGAATTAGGCAATCCAAACCACGTGACTTTTTTTGACGGATTGTTGGCACACAAAAGATTTTCTTGGTTTAATATTGTCCTTGCGTTCGGTATTTTGCTCAAAGAGCAGAGCGTGCTAAGCAGAGTAGTAATCACGTGACCAGTGAGCGAACGGAGCAGTTGAACGCAGTGTCCGAGTGCCTGAAATTTGAATAAACGCACGCAAATGAGTCTGCTCCGAGTACACTTTCTGAATAAACGAACGGTAAATTCAATCTCGGAGAACTCTGATCCGAATACCGAACGCACGGTGTGTCATTTTCTGTGTTGACTGCGTATTTTGATGCTTATTGCTTAATTTTGTGAGTTTTGAGACCTGAAAAAACGCACTCACAATAATTTAGAAATATTTTGAAAGGAAATTTGTAAAAAGCTGGAATTAATAATTATGACGATGACTGATGACATAAGAAATTTAGGGTTATGAGCACATGCATGCCAACCTTGCCAACAGTCGGCCATATTTGACACATCGTTGGATTGCCTAATTAAGGAACAGCCGTATCTTGACGTGTTTGTGATCGTGAACAATAACTGCTTTTTTCCAGCGGCGTTTAGGTAAAGCCCTATTCAAATAAGGAAGTTGCCTTATTACTGCTAGCTTTATTTTGAAATCTCCAATAACTCTCTAAAATAATATTATTGACTTTTGTACAGGGTCATTTTTTATATTTTCCCATCCCCCTTAACTTTTTTATGCCACCGTGTATAAAAAAAATGTAAATAGGAAAGTTGTAGTGCTGTGGTGCTTGAAAAATAGTTCTCAGAAAACATAGTTTTGTTCATACAGGGTGTTGCAAAAAGTTTGAAAAACAAAAAAAATATATTTTTTTAAATGGTATATTATGACATTTCTGGATTCTGCGGAAAATTCTAGACACATATCATGTATAATGTCATATACCTATCTTCAACTGTTTTGGAAATAATGACAGTAGATAATTGACTTTTTTTGACAGACTGTAAAACTTAAACGCTTGATTTTACAACAAAACCGATCATACTTGCTTTTTTAATTTTTTTATAAAATATCATTTGACACCAACTTTGAATTAAATCCATGATTGAAAATTCCAATTAAATTTAATCTCCGGTTAAATTCAAAGTTGGTGTCAAATGCTAGCTTATGAAAAGCTGTAGACAAGAATGTAAAATTAGTTTTGCTGTAAAATTAACAGTTTAGGTTTAACAGCCTATCAAAGTTGCAAAAAAGTCAATTTTCTACTGTCATTATTTCCAAAACAGTTCAAGATAGGTATATGACATTATACATGAAATATGTCTAGAATTTTCCGCAGAATCCAGAAATATTACAATATACAGGGTGTCCCATTTAAAAAAATATTTTGCAACACCCTGTATGAACAAAACTATGTTTTCTGAGAACTATTTTTCAAGCACTACAGCACTACAACTTTCCTATTTACATTTTTTTGATACACGGTGGCACAAAAAAGTTAAGGGGGTCGGGAAAATATAAAAAATGACCCTGTACAGCTTCAATATACAGGGTGTCCCACGACGTTTCTCCCAGGTGATAAACTTCGGAACGCGTCATCCAATATAATTGAAATTTTCAGGATCTGGGTAACTTTTTGTGCCGCGTCTACCATGGTCATCCAATTCCACCAGTTTCGCTTCAATTTCGGTCAAGTGACGTCATCTTTCGAATCTTAAATGTAACTCATGGTATATTATGGCATTTTTCGTTAGAAAATTAAATTAGAAAATCGACAATGCCATATTTGTTAAGGCTTTAAAAAAATATACAGTGGAACATACGATGATGCATTCCGAAGTTATCATTTGGGAAAAACTTCGTGGGACACCTTGTATATACAATGTGTCCAAGATAAGGAGGGCCAGTATGGGGATGTTGGAAACAGTGAAAGATACGACGTTGCTTAAATTAGGAAAAAGTTGGGCAATTTTGTGCTCATTAAAATACCGCTCTGATATTTTAAAAATTCCGATTGATACCGGAGATATCCGGAAAAACGCGAAATTCGACCAGAAGGATTTCATTTTTTCCTGACCTTAATTGAAGAGATATTTCAAAATAAATGGCACTTCTTCATTGCCACTTTTCCTCCTCTACAATATGGCACTACCAAATTTTTAATCCAACGTTTCGTCTTGGGGCGACCATATCATTAGATCCCCATACTGGCCTTCCTTATCTTGGACACATTGTATATAATAATCCTGAAAAAAAAAAACTGTTCAATCAGATTCTTATACTGACCTATAACAAATCCCACACAAGTATCCTCATCTCCTATTATCGCAATCAGTTTGGGTTCACCAATGTAATTGGCGCTCTCCTCCTCCTCAAAAATACATAACGAGGAAGATTGTAAAAGATTAGAAGATGCAGATCCCTTTATTTCATGTAGGGAATTGCTTGGTTCGGCATTATGATGCATTATTTAGTTTTATTTACTGAAGATTTTCTATGAATGATGATTTTATGAAAAAATAGAAATGTTTAAAATGACAATGTCGGAATCAGCTGGTTAAAATCAATGATTGGAAACCGAACATTAATATTTTTTTGGGGAGGCAATCAGTGCCGTTCATTCATCCAAACATAAATCAGTAAGATAAAAAATGGAGTCTGTGCAATTTGATTATGAGATAAATTAATTACTATTGACCCTTTCTTTTCAAATTCATACTATAATTATTGAAGTAATAATATTTCAACTGACTCTTGGCTCTTCATCATGTGAGTGACTACTTTTGGCTTCCAAGAATATTATTTTGAGACAACATAAAATAATTGTTATTGCTTACGAATGTTCGGCCTTTTTGTGTTCTGTTTCAGTTGAAAGAATGATGAGTTGCAGTCATCCAGATATCCAGAAAAGTTGGGATGATTCAAGATGTGGAAAATACTCTATACTTTCTACAGAGAGTCTTTATACATTTTTTAAAAAAATAAGCTTTTACTTAATAAAAATAAAACGAATAAATACGGATTTCATTAGCAACCTATATCCATCATCATCGCTTGCATTATTACGAATCTCTATCGTAAAACCTTGTCCATTATCAAATTAAATTTAGCAAGGAAACTCATTATCAGTCTGGTGATAAAAACTGCAGCAGCCTCGTTGACCTTCTATTAATACAAATACTTTGTACAAAGCTTCAATAAATGTTTATACATATTTATTGCAGCCAATAAGAAAAGAACAACTTGAATTTGTTTTGTTGAAGAATAAATACCTATACATAATATTATTGATTATTCAAGATTCCATTTAGCATAAACAAGCGAAGGAATAAAAAAAAATCACAATAAAGCTTCCATCCCCTAAGCAGAATCAGAAAGAAAAAAAAAACCTTGGACTTTATATTAATATATATTCCTAGAATTTGAATATTTCTAATATGTATTGGTAAAGAAGATCCCGCGCTTTATTTCCGAATTGAAAATAGCTTAGGGCCCTCCATGGGAACTTTTAAATGTATTCATAAAGTATAAAACACTTTTTGATGTATTTTCAAAGTATTATTCTTTGTATTTACGCCCTGCTGGTCTTGTTTTATAAACTTTTTGGTATTTGTTGGGCGAGAATTTACTTGAACCGATTTTGATTTACATTGTCCAATGAACATTGGCGTACCTAATCCTATTAAATTATTCAGCGAGGAATAAAAGTTTTTAGTTTAAAGAAAACGAATCTCTCTGATGTTTTAGTAATAATTGAAAAATTCAGTCTGACACATTTTATTTGACTTTTCAACTGTTGAACTAAATCTAGATACCGGTCGATATTAAAAATATACCCATTGGGAAATTTAACTAGCATCGGGTGAATATTTGTTTTGTATAAAGTTTTTCAATATTTAACATTGGCAGCAAATGGATTGGTCATTAAATATACATTTAGTTTGAAACGCTGTATCTTTTTTTTTTAATATGGATTGTGGGCGGAAAAATTAATAAAAACGAACCTTTATTTGTTTAATGAAAACCCATTAATAGCTTTAATTGTTGATGAGTATGGTACAAGTTGTTGAGCTGAGTATTGATATATTTTTTTAGCTCTGTTCTCTTGTGATTTTAATGAATCTGCTTGGTCTAGTTAGGCTTGTTTGTTTTTCTATCATCTTCTTTTTTTCTGTTTTAAGGTTTGACTTCCTAGTTCAATTATTGGCTTTCCTGGAGTTTGCATATCTGAGGGCCGGTTTATCAATAGAGGATTACCCCATGAGTTACGGATAACCTTGGGTCCAAGTTGTGACGAGTGTTTATTCATCCAGGGTCAACTGCTAACTCGAAAGTTATTCCAGGAAAAAGTTAACCCGCGCTTTCACGGCAAGTTAGTGTATTTGACCCTGGGTTAACTTCAACATTTTTTCTTATTTTCTATCTGATTTTTTTTGAAAAGTGCTGGTTTTGGCTTGAATTTTGATATTGTGAAGAGATGGAGGACCTGGATTTCAGTGATGATGGTCAAGATGTTCTAGAATTTCTGGAACATGCATGAGCGGCGCCTCTACCACAGGCACCTAACAAATCCCCTTGACGACTTCCACTTCTTCGCACGTTTTCGCTTACGGAAAGAAACAATTTTATTTATTCTAGAAAAAATCGAGCTTGAATTCCCAACAAACCTATGTTTGTTGAGAATTTGAGTATAATATTTATTTCTACACAGAATACTCGAAACTAAACTCTTCGCTTTCCGCTAATGTATTCACATCAAATAAATAGCATGCGATCTATAACTTGTTGCTAGAAAGCAGGAAGCATACTAATACGTCTGTTTCTACAGAAATCACAAACCAGTCGGAGCAAATAACCAATGAAATTCACTCTAACTGGTTTGTGATTTCTGCAGAAACAGACTTATTATTTTCGAACCTTGTCCTAGAAATATATGCCTGCTTTCACTCCGGAGTGATTGGAACATGAAGATATATTTTAATAGTTTGCGACGTACTTGCAAGATGGACAAACGTTGTTTATTTTTGACTTGTTGCGTAGAGGTGTATCGATAAATATAGTAGCACTGTGTGATTTTGGTATGAATGTAAACATGGAAAACTCAAGTTGCAACGTGCTCGCTGCTTTCTAGCAGCAAGTCGCATGGTCGCACGCATGATGCCTTTTCAAATCGCTTTTCGTTTGAATTTTGCTTTGCAAGTGTCAAATTCAAAAGGATGAATATCCGAATGTGGTAATATGTGATTTTTGAGATGGTCTTCTTCATTTCAATTTTGCTTTGTAAGTGTTATGTTTAAAAGATTAAATATCCAAGTGTGATAACATGTGCCTCTTCAAATCGCTTTTTCGTTTATATTTTACTTTGCAAGTGTCACATTCAAAAGGATAAATATCCGAGTGTGTCACCATGTGCATCTTCAAAACGTTTTTTATTTTAAATTTTGCTTTGCAAGTGTCACATTCAAAAGGATAAATATCCGAGTGTGTTAACAAACATGTGTTTCTTCAAAACGCCTTTTGTTTTAAATTTTGTTCCGCAAGTGTCACATTCGAAAGGATGAATATCCGAATGTGTTAACATGTGCATTTTCCAATTGCCTTTTTGTTTAAATTTCACTTTACAAGTGTCACATTCAAAAGGATATATATCCGAATCTGTTAACATGTGCATCTTCAAATGGCCTTTGGTATGGATGTAAACATGGAAAACTGAAGTTGCAACGTGCTCCCTGCTTTCGAGCAGCAAGTCGCACGGTAACACGTCACATGCTACTTTGGTATAAATGCCCTGCGGAAACGAAAAATAAAAGAAAAAAATAACATGATTAAGTCAGGTTATGAGCAGAAAATGTGAAAAAATAAATAAAAGTGAGCTGGCAACGTTGCATAAGTAGTGCCAACCTTCGAAGAACCCGAGAGTTTACCAGCCCTGGGTTTAAAAAGCTTGGATTAACACCTTTCGACTTAACTAGCTAGTTAGCCCAGAGTTAGAGTTGACTCAGGGTCAGGAAACTCTGCGAGTTATCCCTTAATTGATAAACCGGCCCTGTGAATCGAATATTTCCATTTGTTCCTTTATTTCCGCAATTTTTTTTTTTTTTCGTCAAATGAGATCGCGTCCGGGAATATTTAAACATTCACAATAGCCGCTTTCGGAAAGTGTGACCGAATAATCGGATTAGTAATTTCATCGTTCGTAAAATGATCCATAGTCAAGTACTCGCATTCGGTAAGTGATCTTGTTGACTCGGTTTTCTCATATTTTTTATGATCTCATCAAACCTGCTCTTGACGTGGGTAGAAAATTAATCTGTCAGCTATTTGATTTTTTTAGTTATGTGTTATGTTTAGGTGTGTTTCTGCAGAAATCACAAACCACTCGGAGTGAATTTTATTGGTTGAAACTAGTTTTCTCACTGTTTCTAACTGTTTTCAACCAATGAAATTCGTTCTGACTAGTTTGTGATTTCTGCAGAAACAGACGTTTTTTCAAGTTTTGCGTTTGAATTCTTGTGATTTGTTGTTGTGTTCGGGGTGATTTGCAATCAAGGATGATACACACCTATATAATTGCTTATCGGCTCCGTTTTTGGTAATCGCCGCCATATTGATGTGACACCATGGGCTGTGGCCTACGTCAAGGCGAGAAATATCATGCTGCCTACGTTACAACTGGTAATTTGGCGTGGAGTGGAAGGGGGGGATTTGTTACATACAGGCCTTATGAGGATAGGCCATCCTGTAGTAGTAGTGTGTATCATCCTTGACGTCAAGGCAAGAAATAACATGCTGTTACGTCATAACTGGTGATTTGGCATAAGGCAGGGGGGAAAGGGGAAGGGATTTGTTTTACACAGGCCTAATGAGAATAGGCAATCCTGTAGTAGTAGTGTGTATCATCCTTGGTTTGCAGTGTTGTTGAAAAGTTAAAGGTAGAGATTTAACCTCAAATTGTTGAAGAAAAATAGTTCATTGGTTTCGTGCGGCACGTGACCACATTAGAGGTTAGATAAACCAAAAATTAGTGAATTTTCGAAATTTCGCCGTCTAGCCCTAATACTTTGAAAAATTGTTTCTAATTGAAATATAATTCACTGCTTAGGATAGTATATGTAGACTAAGGTTAAAATACCCTCACATTATGCCGCTGTAGGATGTGAAAACAATGCCGCCGAATATACAATATGAACGTAAACACCGGACAAATATCAAAAGAAGAAAGCATGACACTCCAACTCCATTATATAAACAAATGGGATAAAGTTAGGTTGTCTTAACTCCAGTGTCAATTTAGTGACGTCACGTGCACGAAACCAATTGAGAAAAACAAACGATCGTTCGGAAATGTTGAATAGCCTACTCTGAAAACGAGCTAAACCGCGATCAGCTGATGTTAACCTACATGATTAAGGATTTACATTTCCGGAAGCAGCTATAATCACAAATAAGTGTTCATTTCACTAACAACGATTTCCATTTGTCGAACCAGTGCAAAAAAAATGTATCCTTATCCTTACATGTTACATGCTTTTAGAAAAAGATGCGGATACACTCAGTGCGCACTCATTGGCAAATGGAAATCGCCATAAATCTATATCTATTTCCACATATTTCACAAAATCGCAAATCTGATACCATTTTGTAAGGAATTTTTCATGAGGGATTTGAATTAACAGTTACACTTTTTTCACTAAATGTTATTTTTTCCACTCTGAACAAGAATCTTTCAGAATTGTCTAGAACATCTGGAAACTTCTGACGGGTTCCTAATTATTCACAGTGCACATCAAAAGTGGCTTCTATCTTTTTTTTCAGGTTCAATTAGTTTTGTTAGTCTGTCCTTGCGTTTCTTTGAGTTAGTTAGTTAGTAAATTCGTTGCATTACCCAAGTTATCTCGACACCTTTAACAAGTCCCAAGTTTCGCTTGACTGACCGCGGTATGTTTATGTACGTAAATACAGTAATCAACAGTCCAAAAACTAGCTTTAGTAAATTCAGAGAATTTTTTCGGCGCTGGCTTAGACTATAATATCGAAAGACTACTTGTAACATTTTCTACGGGATATTTTAAACATAGTTAGTGGAATCATACCTTAAGTAAATATATATATATATACAAATTATTTTTTTGACTGTGTCATTCACAGTCATGTTCCTTTAATAGTTAAAATTCCATCATAATTTCTAAATTCTCGTATCCACATGAATCAATATCGTCCATTCTTCTCAATAAATACCACCCAACTAGATGACTCGCTCAGATCACAAGGCAATCAATTTCAATTTACCACTGAAACTCCGCCAGTTTTATACGCCCAAAAGCAGTTTGTTCCTGGAGCTGTTCTATTTACTTTTCCCAGTGCGCATCAACAGCAACCTTCTGGATCATACATGACAGGATGTTGTACTTGCACGCGTACACCACCGCCAGAATCAAGGAATTATGGTGCTTTTTGTCAACAACCTCCAGCTCCTGTGCACACATTTTTTCCTTCATCGATGAAATATCCACAAATGAGAGCATTTCAGAAACAAGGAATACCATTTCATCACGATCGATGCACATCCACTTCGGACTTCTTCAATTGTTATACTCGAGGGCCACCATCCAAGGGTCTTCCAGATTTTTCAAACATGCAACAAGAATGCTATGACACTCAAATGCCTTTATTCCCTCGCCCTGGTATGGAATTCTCAACAAATCCAAGAAGATTGGTTTTGAGGAAACCTGTCTCACCTCCTACCGGTAATGTTGTAGATATTTTGGATGATAATAAAAAGAAGGTTTGCTTTGAAAAGAATCCAGATACTTCTACCAAAGACCAAAGTGTCCAAGTAACTAGCGATTGTATATGTGACGTGGGAAAAGGCGAGAGCAAATCAAAAATTCAAGAAGAAACAAATTCCGATAGTTTATCGTCCATATCGTCCAGTTCGTCGGAAGGCAAAGAAAAACCGAAAAAGAAATGTTGGCGGAAACAAAAAAAGACAACAGAAAACTCATGTGATTCAAAGAAACGAAAGAAAAAGAAAAAAACAAACCGAAAAAAGAAAACCACACTTGAGGATAGTTCTTCGCAAACTGATACGAGCGATATATCCGATACTAAGTCTAAAACTTGTATATGTAAAGAGTTTTTAAAAATAAAATTGTAAATATATACAAATAAGTACAGGTGGATAATAAGTTTTGTTGTTTAGGTGAATTCGATATCAAGTTGATGATATAAAGGCTGCGGTAACCAAGACAAGAGTATCCTAAAAGAAAATTTACTAGGATCTCAAGTGTACTTGCATCTTATTTTTATCAACATTTCCTCAACACTTTTTCGTCACACATTCATATTCTTCTTCAAGAAGTAAATTTCGTGTGGATAGGCACTGGCTGACGTCACACACATAACCTCACTTCCGTTGGGGGGACAAACAAAGCCTGACGTATTTAAGCTAACCTCAATAATCAATCAGTATCAATCAATATTGCTGAAAATTAATACAAAAACTGTTTATGATACAATGGTTCAAATGAGTTGAATGAATTCTTGTCAGAATTAGGCGAAAAAGAAGTGAAACCTTTCTTTTCACAAGTTCCCAGGCATTCAAATTGTAAGAAAACAATAGTTACGTGCTCTCAACCCGAATGAAGACGATTTAAGTTGGGACAGAGATTTGAGGGTTCGTAAAATAACGATTTTTATATTAAATACAATAATAATGTACAATTAAAGGTTTGCTGCAAACATTTTTGCTGCAGTGGGTTTTCTTCCTAATTAATGTTAATACGTATTTTGTAATATTTACGTTTAAAAATAAACAAAAACAGAAACATAACCGAAATTGCACAATTTGGCAAGTGGAACCAATCAAAGTCATTCCACACAGGTATCGCGCGTCATTATATGTGTCTTTTTCTTTATTGCAGAAATCTTAATAAACTATCCTTGTTGTTCATTGCATGAGAAAGGTCCATTGGTACGTAAGTGACGTAGCCCAACAATCTCATCCGAATTCAGTGGATAGGGCGTTTGGTACACTTGGCCAAACATAAAACTGGTTCAGGCAAAATATATACTTCAAATTTGCCTAGTATGAATCAGGCTTAACAACTGAAAGTCTCTTCTGAAAAACATAGGCTCGACCAATCTTGACAGTTTTTGTCAATGTCAAAGCTGAACAAAAGTAAATGTTTTCATGCTATGATTGGTTAAAATATGACACTGACTTGACTCTTTTTGTCATTATTGAGGTGATAAAAAAAGGTCGATTTACACAATACAACACAATAGGAAAATGCGTACCAGTTTTATGTTTGGCCAAGTGTACATTTTGACTTTGACATGTTTATTTGGACATGAGAGAAAAAGAAACAGAAAGCTACCAAACATCCACTACCCAGTCAAACCGCGGTATAGCATCTGACAGACCAAAGGGCCTACCAAAGTTGTTGTGACGCCCATCCGAAATTGAATGGTACCTGTTTTCAAGGGCGGCCACAGGGAGGGTCAGGGGGGTTACTCGACCCCCCCTGGAAATTTCTTGAATTTCAATTATTTTCTATATGTATTATATTGTAGGTCCGATGATGCTCGTATGAGCGAAACGGGCATACTTGAATTCGGCCACAAACCAGGTAGCTGCAGTATAGTCCAGGAGCTGGCGTCGAAAATATGCAAGAGTTTTCGCAAGGCTCATATTTTCAGAATGAGTAGTATTTTAGTGCTACAAAGCTAGGTTACAGTCAGCAGTTCCAGTTCCGGGACACCTGGCGCTGAGATGCGCGCAAAGGTGTATTTTTAATCAACACCTCGCAACAGTTTTCGCAAAGCTGAAAATTTGCAAAGAGCATGCGAATATAATGTAGAACCATAATTTAACAGTCAGACAAAGAAATACGGGGACACGTAGAGTCAGCGCGACTTTGAAGTGGTCAAAAAAATGACGTCACCGAAAGTGTTTTCGCATGGCTGAAATTTGGCAAGGTAATAGTAAAAACAATATATTTATTGAAAAAAACAGTCAGACACTTCTATGTCGGGACCCCGCCAGTCAGCAGTCGATTAAAGTGATATAGGTGGTAGCGCGCGTCAATAGGCATATAACCATGTCGAATAATAATTTCACCAAAAGTGTTTTCGCATAGCTGAAATTTGGCAAGGTAATAGTAAAAACAATATATTTATTGAAAAAAACAGTCAGACACTTCTATGTCGGGACCCCACCAGTCAGCAGTCGATTAGAGTGATATAGGTGGTAGCGCGCGTCATTAGGCATATATCCATGTCGAATAATAATTTCACCAAAAGTGTTTTCGCATAGCTGAAATTTGGCAAGGTAATAGTAAAAACAATATATTTATTGAAAAAAACAGTCAGACACTTCTATGTCGGGACCCCGCCAGTCAGCAGTCGATTAGAGTGATATAGGTGGTAGCGCGCGTTATTAGGCATATATCCATGTCGAATAATAATTTCACAAAAAGTGTTTTCGCATAGCTGAAATTTGGCAAGGTAATAGTAAAAACATATTTATTGAAAAAAACAGTCAGACCCTTCTATGTCGGGACCCCGCCAGTCAGCAGTCGATTAGAGTGATATAGGTGGTAGCGCGCGTCAATAGGCATATATCCATGTCGAATAATAATTTCACCAAAAGTGTTTTCGCATAGCTGAAATTTGGCAAGGTAATAGTAAAAACAATATATTTATTGAAAAAAAACAGTCAGACACTTCTATGTTGGGACTCCCTCAGTCAGCAGTCGATTAAAGTGATATAGGTGGTAGCGCGCGTCAATAGAATTTTACTCTATATATTATATCCATTTCGATGAATAATTTTATTTCTATAATTTAAATTATTTGGAATCGGAAACGGTAAAATACATTTTTTTTTTCTCTTAATGAGTAAGTGTAAACCTGTAAGTTGCAAGCGTAAGCGCGTATACTTGAATAAGGCGTATATGCATTCGAATTCGGAAACTTCATTATGGTACTGTTAGGTCGAGATTAGGGGAAGGGAAGCGGCAGATGTGATTAGAATTTTTTTTTTGTATTTTATAAAATCGGCGATGATTATAAGTATTTAATGAAACTACAATAAATATAATTAAAACTGAATTTATTTAATTACTATAGGTATACTATCACAGTACTGCTGATTAAATGGTCAAGTAATATTTATACGAATCGGGCTTTTTTCTAACCGCAAACTTTTTAACTGCATGTACAATTTTATTTTACCGTTTCCGATTCCAAATAATTTAAACTATAAAAATAAAATTATTCATCGAAATGGATATATGTATATAGAGTAAAATTCTATTGACGCGCGCTACCACCTATATCATTTTAATCGACTGCTGACTGAGGGAGTCCCGACATAGAAGTGTCTGACTGTTTTTATATTGTTTTTACTATTACGTTGCCAAATTTCAGCTATGCGAAAACACTTTTGGTGAAATTATTATTCGACATGGATATATGCCTAATGACGCGGTACCACCTATATCACTCTAATCGACTGCAGACTGGCGGGGTCCCGACATAGAAGTGCCTGACTGTTTTTTTTCAATAAATATATTGTTTTTACTATTACCTTGCCAAATTTCAGCTATGCGAAAACACTTTTGGTGAAATTATTATTCGACATGGATATATGCCTATTGACGCGCGCTACCACCTATATCACTTTAATCGACTGCTGACTGGCGAGGTCCCGACATAGAAGTGTCTGACTGTTTTTTTCAATAAATATATTGTTTTTACTATTACCTTGCCAAATTTCAGCCATGCGAAAACACTTTCGGTGACGTAATTTTTTTGACCACTTCAAAGTCGCGCTGACTCTACGTGTCCCCGTATTTCCTTGTCTGACTGTTAAATTATGGTTCTACATTATATTCGCATGCTCTTTGCAAATTTTCAGCTTTGCGAAAACTGTTGCGAGGTGTTGATTAAAAATACACCTTTGCGCGCATCTCAGCGTCAGGTGTCCCGGAACTGGAACTGCTGACTGTAGCCTAGCTTTGTAGTACTAAAATGCTACTCATTCTGAAAATATGAGCCTTGCGAAAACTCTTGCATATTTTCGACGCCAGCTCCCCGACTAGTAATCCTACCTTTGAATTCGACCAAATCATGAAACCCAACCTACTTCCCATAAAACTTACGTTATGATGTTAACAGATTTCGCATTGCATATGATTTAATAAATCTAAAAAAGTGTAAATATGTATTTTGATGCGCAAAATAAAAAGATCTACCAAAATGACTATGGAAAGATTCACAGGCATAGGTTTTCTTATCCAGGTCTATCGAGGCATGTGCCATGTGTCGATGAGATAATCTGAAAATTTAACTAGAACTTCGTGATTCGGCTGAATAGCTAACAACTCGAAAACAAAGAAATCGCTAATTTCTTGATTCTCCAAAAACATCATTCCGAAACAATTATGTAACGATTTACCGATTTCTGAATCTTTTTTTTTATATTCAATGCTTAAGCCTAAGTTTTGGATCTTCCTCTACCATGCCTGAGATTTTAGCTATTTATAAGAAGTAAATAAGTTGATTTAATATCTATATCTCAGTGTACCGATTTGCATATTGATAAATTGTCACCCTTTTCTTATTCCGGAACTGGTGAATTTTGCGGCTGAGTTCAAGGATCCCGGAGCTAAACACATGTCACTATTAAGTGAATCAAATAATAAACAATCTGTGTGTTAACATGTGGCTTTTCAAATTATGTTTTTGCTTAAATTTTGCATTGCAAGTGTCACATTCAAATGGATAAATATCCGAATGTGTTAGTTTGTGAATCTTTAAATCGGCTTTCCATTTAAATTTTCATTTGCAAGTGTCACATTCAAAAGGATAAATATCCGAGTGTGTTGAAATGTGCCTTTGTAAATTACTTTTCTTCAAATTTTGCCTTGCAAGTGTCACATTCAAATGGATAAATACCCGAATGTGTTAGTTTGTGTATCTTCAAATCGCGTTTCCGTTTAAATTTTGATTTGCAAATGTCCTATTCAAAAAAATTAACTATCCAAGTGTATCAATATGTGTTCCTTCAAATCGCCTTCTCTTTTCAATTTTGCATTCCAAATGTTACATTTGAAATTCTCCTCATCCGAGTGTGTTAATATGTGGCTTCTC